TTGCTGGGTCTGATCTCCAACCTTGGTTCTCCTGATCTCTGCCTCCCAAGTAGCTGGCAGCTGTGAAACACCATGCTTGGGTTTCATCTCACTTTTAAAATATTTCAGGTAGTTGGGCAGCAGTGGCTGACGCCTGTAATCCTAGCTACTCAGGAGGCAGAGATCAGGAGGATTGGGGTTTGAAGCCAGCCTGGGCAAATAGTTTTTGAGACTGTATCTCAAAAATACCCAGCACAAAAAAGGGCTGGTGGAGTAGCTCAAGTGGTAGAATGCCTTCCTAGCAAGTGTGAAAGCTCTGCGTTCAAACCCTAATACCATCAAGGAAAAAAAGACTGGGTGACTTCAACCACACACACAAAAATATTTTTCCCCAGTTCTGGGGGCTGGAAGTCTGAGGTCAAGGTTTCAGCCGGTTGATTTCTGGTGGGGGCCTGTTCCTGTTCTCAGATGGCCTTTCAATGTTGCAGGGAGAAAGCAGGTGCTATCTGGTGTGTCTCCATTTAAGGACATTCCTAACACATAAGTGTCCCACCCTGAGATCTTATTTAATCCTGATAACTTCCTCAGAGGCCCATCTCCAAATATAGCCACACTGGAGATCAAGGCTTCAGTATACAAATTTGGAAGGATACAAACATTCATGTTTGGAAGACAGAGTATGCTTGGGAGGTGACAGTGGGGCTGAACTTTGTTCTAAAGCAAAAAGGTTTTAGCTGTCCCTTCTCCTTGGAGAGTGGGCAATGGCACAGGAGCACTGAGTTCCTTGAGGGAGGTAAGAGTTGACAACTGTGGTCTACCCCAAGTAGAGAACCCTGCTCCCCTAGGAGGAAGATGGTGCAGTGTTGCAGGGGATACCCTCTCCTTTCAGCCCCTGGGCCTGGAGCTCATCTGTATTTTTGGTGCCTTTCAACCTAATAACCTCAAAATCAGAAGTTGAAATTGAGGCCCACAGGTTCAATTCAGCTACAGGCAAGTTTGTTGGCCATGTTCAGTGATTTCAGACATTTTAGCAGGGGCTAACATTGTATTTTTGTACAATCCTTTCCACTTCACTGTGTGTTTGGAATTTTTTAACAGTAAAATGTTGAATATGAATGAACAAGGCGATCCCACTGCACACTGGTTAGAATGGCTAAAATTCAAAAACTGACCACAGGGCTGATGGAGTGGCTCAAGCAGTAAGAGCGCCTGCCTAGCAAGTGGGAGGCCCCGAATTCAAGCCCCAGTACTGAAAAAAAAAAAAAAAAAGAGGAAAGGTTTATTTCATATCATGGTCTTCAGCTCATGGTTGCTTGCCCCTGTTGCTTTGGGCCAGTGGTAAATCACATGACACAGGAGTGTTTACCTCAGTAAACAGGTCTGAGGAGTGAAAACAAAGAGGAAGAAGAGGGGCCAGGCTTCTGATATTCCTCCAAGGGCACACCCCCAATAACCTAACTTTAGGGGAGCCCATCTCCTAAAGTTTCTACCATTCACAATAGCACTAGGGGCTAGAGACCAAGCCTTCAACACATGGATTTTTGAGGTTCATTCAACATCCAATCTATAGAGCTGGGTATGGGGGTACATACCTGTAATCCCAGCATTTGGGAAGCTGAGGATTTTGAGTTCGAGACCAGTTTGGGCTACACCCAAACCCTATCTAAAAAAAGGGCCCCAACTACAGCTACCCTTCATAGGTGAATAGGTAAATGAGCTGTATGACATATTATTCAGCAATGAAATCACCTATCTAGCAATACAGTGAGCTAGATAAATCTCAAATGCATATTGCTAAGTGAAAGAAGGCAGTATGAAAAAGCCACATCCTATATGGTTCCAATTGAACAAGATCCTGGAAAATGTCCAGAAGGTTAACAGATTACTGGTTGCAGGGTGCAGGCAGGTGTAGATTGAATAGGTGAAGCATTTGGTATGTTTTCAGGGGAGTGAAACTCTCCCATATGATACAGTAATGGTGAATAGAAGACATTAAGTATTTGTCAGTGTATGTAAATTTCAATGTATGCAAATTAAAAAAAATTAGGGGTCAGTGGATTCCAGGATGGAGCACAGAGAATGGCTAAAGAATGTCCTATCACAGGTGTGTGAGAGAACCTCAGTGCAGGGGTGGAGATAGGAGCTGACCTGGCAGCGTGTGGACCCTGTGAGGCTGAAGGCAAAAGAAATTGCACCTAAACCCTGGGTCTACATGAGAAAGGTGTTTCCCCGGAGTATGGGATGGCAATTCTTTCTTCTCTCTCTCTCTCTCTCTCTTTTTGCGCAGTACTGGGGTTTGAACTTAGGGCCTTGTGCTATTGCTATTATTTCTTTACTTTTGGAGCCTTTCAGATCCTGTCTGCTAGATGTCATAGACTATATTATGGCTTATCATGAACTGTAGTCACCCCAGCATGCTGCAGAGCACGCAAACTTCTTCCTTCTGTCTACCTTTGTTTTGGTAGTTATGATGCGACTGACCTCTATCCCTTCTTCCCTGCCGGATATCTATCTTCTTATTTATCCGTTGACCCATCTGACTGGTATCTATGTATCTATCTCCTATTGGTTCTGTTCCTGTGGAGAATGCTAAGACATAGAGGGTGCTGTGCGTGGAATATACAGGATATTCTTTGTACTATCTTCACAATAATTCTGTAAGCCTAAAAGTAAAATAAGTGGGGACTGGGGGACGGCCTGACTGCCTAGCAAGCATGAGGCCCTTAGTTCAAATCTCAGTACCACTAATAAAATAAAATAAGAATGTAATATTCTGCCCAGGTGGTGGTTACGTGGATCCACATACATGTAAAAAACTCATTGAGCGGGGCACCGGACAAATAGTTGTCAAGACCCTATCTTGAAAAAACCCATCCCAAAAAAGGGCTGGTAGAGTGGCTCAAGGTGAAGGCCCTGAGTTCAAGCCCCAGTACAGCAAAACAACAACAACAAAAAAACCTCATTGAGCTGAACACTTTAAGAGTTACACACCTAGCAAATGCATGCTGTATTCAAAATACTTGTGGTAAATTTAATGTAAAACTGAATTCACAGAAACTCAGAAGATCTGGCAGCTTGGACCTAATAGTGGCAGAGCAGGGTAGCTGGGGAAGGGGCTCTGGGATTGCCATGGTCTTGGCCTGCCTGTTGTTCCTTGCCTGGACCTGACCCCTGCCTCAGCTGTGACCTGTTGGAATCTTCTGGACTAGAAGCTTTTTTAGGGTGGGTGGTACGTATGAGATTTGAGGGAGCAGTGGGCAGACACATTGCAGCTGATTAAGACCACCCAAGTCACCTCCACTATCCCAACCATAGAGCCCCTGAGCTGAGGGCTGGGAAGAAGTGAGAAGCTGATCCTGAGTGGGTTCTGATTTTCCGGGGTCTTGCCATCACTGCCCCCAGTCCCTGCAGAGACATCTTCTCAGGCAGCGATGCCATCTGTGCCAGCTGTCAGGCTCCCCAAGTAGCCGCTGGGTTGGGGCAACTCATCCCTGTCCCCAGGCTGCCAGCTTGGCAGGAGGGATAACCTAATTGAGGTTTAGGATTAATTGGACTCTGCCAGGCGGGTGGCACCCAGGCAACTGCAGCCAGTCTTTGCACCTCGTCATCTAGGGTTGAGCTGGGCAGTGTGCCTGCCCCTGCTTGCCTGCTGTCCCAGGGACCAGGAGGACTAGGGAACCCTTTTTACCAGGGATGGTTGGGGTTTGTGCTCTCACCCAGCAGGCAGTAGCAGCACAACACGTCTTTGCTGTAACTAGAAGAAGCTGAGACCTCTCCCAGGTCCACCTTGACCCTGAGGCACCCTCCCTGGGAGGCACTGAAGTTTCAGAGTCCCTGGGTCTGAGTTCGAGTCTCCTTCATCATAATTGTATGTAACTTCATGCCAGTTCCTCACCCTCCTTTAGTCTTCTGGTCCACGTAAAGTTAGCTGGGTCAACCTGGAGGCGATGGGAAGTCAGCCCAGCTCCTAAAGGACACAATGCAAGTCTCATTTTTGGAAGAACAATTGTCACTGTGTGGAGAGAGAGAGGCTAGTGGGGTGCGTGGCCTCCATGCTGTGGTTGAATGCTTGTGTCTCCAAAACTCCTGTTCAAACCCAGTCCTCAGTGGAACAGTGTTAGGAGCAGGGCCCTTTAGGAGGTGACTAGGCCACAAGGGCTCTGTCCTTATAAAAGGTCTGGAGTGGACAAGGTAGGTATTTTACCTTTTCTGCCCTTCCTCCATGTGGGGACATAGGGTTCACCTTCTGGGAGAAGAAGCGTTCCAGATGCCATGTTGGAAGAGATCAGTCTGTCACCAGACAGGGCCTGCCTGCCTCTTGAGATGAGGTTAGGGATTCAGTGCTGGGGGCTCCCAGAGTGGGGTGTTAGCCCCAAAGTGCCTCCTGAAGGGGGCAGCTGAGCCCTTTTGCCAACAAACTCACTCCTTGAAACTCAAGGGCAAATTCTGGAAGGTTGCTTTGCACAGTGCCCCTCCCAGGCTGCAGCAGGAATAAATAGAATCAAGGTTGGGCAAAGCCCTCGTCTGTCACGGAGCCTCCTCACCTTCCAGGGTGAGGCCTGCCATTACGGAACAGGCCAGAGTCGCTCTTGGGATAAGCAGAAGAACATAGAGACCAACAAACATCAGGGCTCTGAAAGCTGCTTAGGTTTTACTCTCCAGGTAAAACCTGACGCTTGCTCTAGGTCGGGTAGAGGAACCAGAGTGGAAGAAGAGGGGATCCCCACTGCTCTGGAGCTCACAGTCCAGGGGTTTTTGGTCACAAAGGGCAAACCCAGGACTTTTCTCTTGAGGACCAAATACTGGGCTTCCAGGATAAGCAAGTGAGAGGCAAGCTCCATCTCTACAGCCTCAGGATGCTTTATTGTCAGAGAAGCAGGTGGGGTGTGGGTGAAGGCAGGAAAGGGCCCTGTGCTAGGCAGGGCTGGGGAGGAGGCAGAGCGTCCCAGCTGTACACCACGGGTTCAAGGAATGTTCAAGAAGGTGTGGTCCTCTCTGCTGCCTCCAGCTTCCACACCGGCTCAGCGAGACATCATTCGAACAAACTCTGCCACGAGAAAGCCAAGGTTTGGGGTCTGCCCTCCTGACCTCAGTAGGGGTGAGGCCTGGCCTCAGCCTGGGGGTGAGGTGCAGTGTGGTTGAGAAGAGGGCCTTTAAGGGCATCCCCTGGCCTCAGGGCCAGAACAGGGCCCTTCATCTTATGGACAAAACAATTCTTGTAATTTTCGCTTTGGCTACTTGGAAGCTCAGCAGCAACTTTGGGACCTACTTTGGGGAGTGCACTTCTACATAGTAATTTTCTTTAACTTACTATTAGTGAATCTTCATCTTTCCTTTATGGGGGAAAGAATCATGTTCCAAAACAGCTGTGCACATTCCTTTTGCTAAACACCTAAACTTTCTTGAGCACTGACTTCTCCTGCCTGTGCGGATTCCTCCTAGATTCTCCTGGTGTGTGATTAACTAGGAAAGCACAAGGGTCTGGCACACAGTGCTAGAGCTCCCTTTGTCTTTCATCGGTTAAGCACCTTCCAGGGCGTGGGAGGCTAAGTGTGGCGGCAGGTGGTACCTTCAAAGTCAACCAGGCCATCTCCGTTGAGGTCGATGTCCTGGAGGATCTCATCCACCTCGCGCTGGCTGAGGCGCTCCCCCAGCAGAGCCCTGAGGGCCGCCCTGAGCTCTCCCAAGCTGATGCAGCCGTCCCCGTTGGTGTCAAACTGTGGCAGGAGTCGCCTGATGAGCGGGCAGGTGCATCCACCCAGCCCCTCGCTCGCGGCGGCCCCGCCCACCCTCCACCCACGCACCTCCCGGAAGGCATCCCGCAGCTCCCGGACGCCAATCATGTCTGCGGTCTCTGCTAGCAGCTTGGGACCCATCAACTCTACAAAATCTTCGAAGTCCACCTTCCCGCCACCTGGTGGTCACATCTTGTAGGTTAGAGACCCCCAGCCTAGCACCCGGCCCTCTGCCCCTGTCCCCGGGCCCAGGGCTGTGCCGTTTGTATTTTGTGATGGAAATCCATCGGCCTCCAGCAGGGCACGATTTGGCCCAGGTGAAGGGAAAACGATTTTTAAAACGCCTTGGAACGCCCCTTGGTTTCCCGCCCCCCCCCCAAGAGTTGGGTTGGGTTCAAATCCTGACTTCAATTAACTTGCTGTGTGACCTTGGACAAGTCACTTTGCCCTTCCCAGCAAGACTCATTTGCCTTGCCTGTGAAAAGGGATCATGACCCCACCCTGCCTTTTCTAGTGGATGTGACATTCTCTAGAGGCAGAGATTTCACCCTGAGGACCACTAGGCCCTGGGCTCTGGGGACAACTTTTGTAGCCACCTCTGGGCCTAGCTGCCAGGGCTCCTGGTCCTGGCCAGGACATCTGGAGAGCTAGAGGATGGGGAGGTCTGAGGCACATACTGATTTGCTGTGAGATCTCGATGAGCTCCATCTCTGTGGGCATGTAACCCAGGGTCCTCATGCAGGAACCCAGCTCCCGGTAGCCGATGTAGCCATCCCGGTCTCGGTCAAACTCCTGGAAGGCGACCTGCAGCTCTGCCAGGCAGGGTGGGGTCAGTCCTTCCCTCACACAACCTGCATGCTGGCCTGGATCAGCCCATTCTCCCCTTGGTCCAATCATCCCTTCCTAAATATCAGTTCCTGTTTGCTGTCTCAGGGCTTTTGTACATGTTTCTTTCTTGCTCTCTTTTTTAAATGGTTCTTTCAGCAAATATTTAAGAATCATCTGCCACGTGCCAGACTCTGTTCTAGGTACTGGGAATTAAAAATGATGGAAGGAAGGAAGAAAGGGTGGGATGGAGAGAGGGAGGAAGGGAGGGAAGGAGGGAGGGAGGGAGGGAGGAAGGAAGGAAGGGTGGGATGGAGAGAGGGAGGAAGGGAGGGAGGAAGGGAGGGAGGGAGGGAGGAAGGGAGGAAGGAAGGAAGGAAGGAAGAGACTGATCCCTGACCTCATGGGTGTTGCATTCTGGAAGACTGTCCCCTCCTCTAGTTCTGTGTCACTCACTCAAGGAAGCTCCCCTCCACATTTGTTCCTACCAGCCCATTCACTTGTTTCTTGAAGAGCACTTGGCATCTTTGTACTTGTAGCTGAAGCATTAATGCCTGTCCCCAAAGGGCAACATGCACATATCTGTCTAGTTTGTCATGCTTCCCACTGCTCAGAACTGGGCCAGGTCCACAGTATGTACCCAGGAAGTATTGGCTGGATGGGCAGATATAAAACAGGCTCATAAAACAGGCTCTTGACCTGCCTGGTAAGTGACACCAAGGGACTGACAACTGGAAGGTCTATCATTTCTCCCTGATCAGTCTTGTCCAATTTCTCAAACCCATCCCCAGTGGCCTTCTTGCTCCTTCTTCTGGAGCAAGAGACTGGAACTGAAAGGTCCCTCCCAATGCCCCCATTCCATGTCCCCACCCTAGGCCACTCAGAACTATTTCCTTCTCAGACCTTTTACCTTCGATCTCCTCAGGTCGCAGCTCCCGGTCCTGGGGGGCACAGAAAAGTGAAGAGGTCCCCTAGGTTCCCCAAGCCCCACCACAGCACAGGGCCTGGGCCTGACACCTCCCTGTGTCATGCTCACTGGCTGGAGATCTTGGGTGCCCCCTTTCCTGTCACCCAGTAGGGTTTCCTCTCCCTCCACCCCCTTCCCCGCAGGTAGCTCCTTTGGCCAGAGGTGAATCTGGGATCAGGAAAAGCCCCAGACATGACTGTGCTGGCCTCAGAGTCACTGTATATCCTTTTGTCCCTCTCTGAATGGACCTGCCACCTCTCTGGCCCATTCCCTGGTGGCTGTTTCTTGATCTTTTCTGGGTCTCTGCTTCCCCTCCCCCCACTTTCTTGGTGTGGCTCCCTGAGCTCTTATCTATGGTTCTCTGCCTGCTCTGTCCCACCTCTGGAGCTATGTGCCCTTGCTCTGATGTCCCCTCCTTCTCCCTTCTGTTCAGTGAGCAGCAAAGCGAAGGGACAGGGGAGGTAGGCGACCGTACATACAAGTTGGGTGGCTGCGATGCTGGGCCGTAGGAAGATGCAGGCCGGCCCCACCAGGCTGCCGAGCACCGAGTAGCCCTGGACACCCCCCTGCTCCTCAGGGCCAGGGTTGGGGCGGGGGCGGGGGCGGCAGCCCCCCAGAGTGGAGCCAGGCCACTGCCAGGCGTCCTGCGGCAGAGCCAGCCATGAGCTGGGGCAGTGGCCTGACTACCCTTCCCCAGCCCCTTTGCTAGCCACTTCTCTTTTGGGAACCAGCACAGGTCCTTCCCCAACAATTCAGTGGGGCAAACTTAGGCCCTGAAACGGCAAGGACTTGGGCAGGATCACTGAGGAGCCTGTGGCAGAGCAAGACCTGTGCTCCAGCACCACAGTGCCCTGGCCAAGACTGCTAGCACGAGTAGTGGCAACAGAGGGACGGGCAGCCTAAGAAGGGAGTCTCAGCAGTCTGTGTGCGCTAAGACCAGCAAGGGGCATCACGGGAGAAATGTCCTTTAGAACAGTGAGTCATGAATCCCTCCATCCCAGGGCCATTCCCTGTCTCTAAGCCAGCCCAGTCCATCCAGCATTCTGCCTACCTGCCTGACCCACAGGGTCACCCAGGCTCGGCTTCTCCCCTTAGTCCTCCTACCTTAGGCCCCTGGCGCCGGGGCCGCTTGGCACAGTTCCCCATGGCCCCCTGAACCATGCCAGGCCTGGAGTCCCGGGGCAGATGCTGCAGATCCTGCCAGCCCCCAGCTGCTCCCAGTGACAGCCTGGGAGTACTGCTGGGGATTTTCCTAGGGTTTTGTGGGCAAGATCAGGGGCGGGTGGGCAGGCGGGGGGCCCTGGGCCCGGGGCTTGGGTCCTAATCCTGGATTATCTCTGAGCATCTCTGGGAGGGGAGGGGGATCACTTGGAGCCAAGGCCCCCTGGAAGGCACAGCCTCCCCCTGCTTCCTCTTGAGGGTCTTCTAGGTACCCATCTCCCCTCACCCTTGCCCCTAGTCTCTCCCAATCAGGAGAGATTTCACATCTTCAGAAGCAGGCTTGGGTCCAGGAGGAGGGAGCACATCTGAGCCAGGGCCAGCTCACTCTCAAAGTGGCAGCAAAGTCCTGGGGAAAATGAACTCCGCACACCCTCTGAAAGGGGGCCACCTTCACCAGGCCTGAAGTCCCTGGGCCCCCCTGCCAGCACCTTGGCTCCCCATCCAAGCACATCCCAGCATTTTCATCCTTGGCACCCCAAACCTGGATCAGCTCCAGCTCTTGTGTGAGGAGCTGGAGGGGCTGACTGGGTGCTGTGTGTGTCCTCAGTGAGGCGAGAGGTGGCAAACTATCTTCCTCTGACCTCTACTGATCGTCTGACTGACCCCTTCACCTATGTGTACTTGGTCTTGGTCCTGGGTGTGTCCTATAGGGTCTCAGCTGGGGTGTGGGGTCTTTGCTATGCTCTCATGGTCCCCTTAGTCAGGAACAGTCACTCCTTACCTGTCCATAGGCTGCTTGCACCTGGGCCTCCAGCTCTTGGAGGAGCGCCCGCCTGCGGGCTGCTGGGCTGGCTGGGGGCTGGCTGGGCCCTGGGGTGCCTGTAGAGGGGCTGGGGTCCCCCGAAGGGATGCTGCCATCTGCTGGGCCCTGGGGCAGGGCCATGGACACGGGGGGCTCAACACCTTCTTCTGGTCCTTCTGTGTCCCCTCATCCTGTGGGCAGGTGGTTCAGTGGGCAGTTACGGGTGTAGTCCCTCCCCCAGGACCCTTGCTCTGTGGGCTAGTGGAGTCTTCAGAGTCCCCTGCCTTCCCCCACCGCCCCTCCTATGACTCTGCCAGTCTGACACAATCCCATCTGACTTCCTCACCTTTCTCCCATGTTGCCATGCTCCAGCTCTCAAGTTCACAGCAGCTGTACCCTGGGCTCCACTCTGGAGCTCCTTGTGCTCTCTAGTGCCCTCCCTCTAGTTGTCTTCTCTTTCTTTCCCACATTCTACCATCCCCTTCCCCATGTCTGACACATTCTCCATTCCCCCCAGCCACTGCCATCACCTCTATCTGTTCAGCAGTATTTCTGTGGGCCTCCTACCCACTTGCAGCTCTCTTTAGTGGCTCCCTCCCTCTGTTGTCTGAAGGCTCTTTGTGACTTTTGTCTGTCTGGCTATCCTTCATCTTTCTATTCCTGCTCCCCTGCCAAGAACAGTTCTAGGATTTTGGGAAGACAGGTCACTGCCTGCTCCTCCCCCTACCCAGAGCCCCATGGGTACATCTGTGCTGTGCTCCTCACCTCCCACCTCCTGCCAGAACTTCCACCTGATCTGATCTGCGACCTCTTGCTTCTCAAGGAAAAAGGACAGAAGTGGACCAGACAGCCTCCCACTGCCCCACGCCCCGACTTCCCATGCCCCCTCACCATGCCCCAGGCCACTCACCACCCAGCCGCCTGCTCTTCGACTCCTAGAATGAGGTCAGTTGTCCTGGCTGTCCCCACTTGGGCCCCTCATGATTTATTTACCTGCCCCCTGCACCAGCCTTTGTCCAAGGGAACCAGATCCCACCAGGTGTCTGCCATCTGAGCTGGTGGCTCTGCCATCATTCACATATTCCCTCAACATCTGAGGTTGGCTGGGACCCAACCTCAGCCCAGCAGCAGCAGCCACATGACAGACTCCCCCCGCCACCTCCTCTGAGGACCCTGCTGTCAGACACATCTAGCTCAGAAGGGCCACCAGGCAGTCCACGTGTGCTTGGCACTGACCCAGGAACAAGGAAGGCATCTGGAGGGAGGTGAGGGAAGGGGCTATATGCTAGCCTACCATGTTAACCCATGCCTGGCCCTGGGCCAGGGCTGAGTCCCCAGTAGGGATCAGCTATGGATTTGCAGTGTCTCAGTGCTGGAATTCACAGGTGATGTTGGGTGATGGATGTCAGGAGGGAGGGAGGGGCTAGTGGCCTCTGAAGAGGGAATGGGTGGCATGAGGTCAGAGAATATTCCAGAGGGGCTGGAATTTGTTGAGCACTTGCTCTAAGCCTTCTTGGGTGCTGGGGACCAGGACCTGCTCCTGAAACCTTCCACCTGATCAGAGCTTCACACTCAGCTTTACAGGATTTCAGTAGATGAGTGCAAGGAAGCTTGTGAAGAGGACCATGGGTGACTGGGTAGAGGAGAGGGTGGCTATGTGGGCAGAGGGAGCACCTTCACAAGCCCAGAGGTGGGCCCAAGATCTGGGGACAGGCCAAGGACTGAGAGGTAAGTGGATGCTAACCAGGTGGCCAAGGGTGAGAAGGGCTGTTTGTGATCACTCTCACTGACTCCACCTGTAGACTAGGAGCGCATTGGTCTCCCAGGCAGTGACATCCCTGAAAACATTCCCCTGAGACAAAATTCTGTTTTCTGCAAGGTTGTAGAAAGGGCCTGCAGGGCTTGATCTCCCCCTCTACCCACTCCAGAACTCTGTGTGGACCTGGGAAAAGTATTTACTTCATCTCTTTCGGTCTCAGTTTCTCTGTCTGAAAAATGGGAGTTGGCCTTGTATTTGCCTCTAACAAGGTGGGAAATGGTGAGAAAGATGTGTCCCAAAGTACAACCCAAGGCAGTTAGGGCTATAGCTGGTCAGAGAACAATGGGTAAGAGTTTTCAGTTATGAAGCAAAGGCTTGGACATGAAAGCCTGGCTTGGACATCTCTCCTGGTTTGTGTTCAATGAGCAGTGACATGGAGCACTCATTTTGGTAACCTAAATTTGCCCAGCATGACTTAGCCAAGCTGAGGTCATAGCTCTGGTGTCCTGGATAGGTGAGTTAGTAGACTGATGGGCAGACAGTTGGGTGATGGATGGATGAGTTTGGAAGAATGGTTGGCTGGGTGGAATGAGTTGTTGGATGGATGGGGGTGTGACCCAATGGACTGGACTTTGAATGGTTGGTGGATGATCAAATAGATGTTTGTATTCTCCTGTTTACTTATATCTGAGTATAGCTTGGATTACATGTGTCTAACCCTGCCCCCCCTTTTCTGCGGCACTGGGGCTTTGAACTCAGGGCCTCACACTTGTTAGGCATGTGATCTTACCACTTGAGTCACTCCACCAGCTCTGGATGATCAAATAGGTGGGTGGAGGGATGAATGGATGGACAAATGTTTAGATGGGTGGATAGTTAAGTGGATGAAAGGGAGCTTGGATAGATGGATGGAAAAGTGGATAGATGGGTAGATGGGTGGACAGATGGTTAGATGGATGGACAAGTGGATGAGTAGTTGGCTGGGTAGAGGAGAATTTGGTTCGATGTATGGAAAAATGGATAGATGAATGGATGGACAGATGATTTGATGGACTAAATGCTTGGTAGATGGATGGTAGATGGTTAGTTGGATGAATGGGTGGACAGGTGAAAGATGGATGGATAAGCAGGTGAAGGATGACTGGATGGGTAAATGGGTAAGTGGACATTTTGACAAACTGGTGACTGAGTGTTTCATTGTTGGGTGGATGGACAGTTGGGTAGATAAACAGACAAATGGATGGAAGTGGATAGATGGCTGAGTGGATGAACTACAAGTAAAAGACCTGTATTTTTTTTTTTTTGCAGTACTGGGATTTGAACTCAGGGCTTTGTGCTTGGTAGGCAGGTGCTCTACTGGTTGGCCCACACCCCCAGCCTGAGGTCTTATAGTCTCTCTGAATTTTTAATATCTCTAGTGGTGTCCAGTCCAGTCCATTCATTGCCCGATCCTTACTAATCAATGCATGTTGGAAGACTGTCTGTCTGTCTCTCCATTCTCAACAATGACTCCTCTGATGGCAAAGATTGCCCTCCTTCTCCACTGCGTTCCCCAGAGCTCAGCACCGGTAACCACAATACAAAGAACCAGGTTGAGCTGTCACTTCATATCCGCTAGGAAAGCCAAACTAAAGACGACAGACAATAACAAGGGTCGGTGAGGCTGTGGAGAAACTGGACCTCCAGCGCTGAGGGTGGACTCTGATTGGTGTGCCCATTGTGAGAAAGAATCTAGCAGTTCCTCTGGCCATGTGACCCAGCAAGTCCACGAGGTATGCCCTAAAGGGAAATGAAAACATAAGTTCACACAAAAGCGTCTACATAAATGTTCCTAGAAGCATTATTTGTAACAGCCGAAGGGTGAAACAACCCAAATGTCCATTCACTGATGAACGAGCAGATACAAATCAAGTGGGGTGGTGTGGTGTATATCTGTAATCCCACAACTCCAGAGGCAGGGGGATCATGAGTTCCAGGCCAGCCTGGGCTACACAACAAGACCTGTCTTAAAAAAAAAAAAGTGCTATATCCATACAATGGTATCTTGTTCAGCTATGAAAAAAAAAATGAAGCTCTGACTCATGCCACAAGATGGATGAACTTTAAAAAGTTATGCTAAGAAGCCAGGCACAAAAAGACAAATACATGTTCACATGACACATTCACAGTAGGCAAATCCAGGGAGACAGGAAGGAGATTAGCAGTTGCCAGGGGGTGAGAGGAGGAGGCAAGGAGTAACTGCTAATGGGTACGGGTTTGGTGGTGATGAGTGCACAACACGGAATACTAAAATCCACAGGATGTACATTGTATAAGGGTGAAAAATAAGGCTGTTTATATGTTTTTAAACTCTCCTAAAGCCAGGTGCTGATGGACACATGGACTGGGGGTTGGTGATGGGCAGAGAGAGCTGTTTAGTCCATTGACCTGGTATAGCTGTGCTTCTGGGACCCGGAGGAGGAGATTCTGGTTTGGCCATAGAGTCAGACCACCAGCTGGGCCTG